CCAAAAATCAGCCCTACTATTATGTATTTTTAAGTACCAAAAAAAAAATCAAAATCAAAACACATGCTTAAAATTCCAACATAATAGTAAAAATAGTTAAAATAAATAAATTATTTTTTACATTTTGCTCACTTGTGCAATGTGCTTGTCAAACTTCTCGTAAAGGCAAAATCAAAACCAAAATGGCAGAGAAACGTCAATGCAATGATTCTTCAGAGGCGAAGAAAAAGATTAGACAGTATGACAAAGCCTATCTAAATACACATAAACACACACATACAGTAAATATATATATATATATATATATATATATATATATATATATATATATATATATATATATATATATATATATATATACACACACATATACGGTACATATGTGTGTGCGTGCGTGTGTATTTATTTGTTGGGGGGGCTCCAATGTTTCTATATGTTCATGGGGGGGGCCCCAGAGAAAAAGGTTGGGAACCACTGGGTTAGATGATCTGATTTGAAACAGGTGATGTCAACAGGTGATTGTAATTATGTAATTATACAGAAGCAGCATCCAAGCAAGGTCTAGTCCTTTAGGAGCAGAGATGGGCCTAGGATCGCCAGTTGGCCAATGAACACAAAAGAAAATGATTGAAATGTTTAAAAACAATGTTCCTCAAAGAAAGAGAGGAAGACATTTGGATATTTCACCTTCAACAGTGCAGAACACCATTAAAAGATTCAAGGAATCTGGAGAAATTTCAGTGAGTACAAGGACGCTGCATCAAGAATCCACATTCTATGGAGTCACTAATACTCTGTGTGTGTGTGTGTGTGTTCATTATTCACGTTTAGCTGTAATTTAGCATTTGTTGTAATGCAATTGTTTTGTCATTGTCTCATTATTATTATTATTATTATTATTATTATTGTATTATTATTATTTTATTATTATTATTATTATTATTATTGTATTATTATTATCATTTTATTGTTATTATTATTATTTTATTGTTATTATTATTATTATTATCATTATTATTATTTTATTGTTATTATTATTATTATTATTATTAATATTATTATTATTATTTTATAATAATTATTATTATAGCCAGCACAGTTTTGCAGTGGGTAGCACTGTCGCCTTTCAGCAAGAAGGTCACTGGTTCGAATCTAAGCTGAGTTAGTTGGCATTTCTCTGTGGAGTTTGCCTGTTCTCTCCATGTTCATCTGGGTTTCTTCCGGGTGCTCCGGTTTCCCCCACAGTCCAAAGATGGTATAGGTGAATTGTCCATAGTGTATGTTTGTGAATGAAAGTGTATGGGTGCTTCCCAGAGATGGGTTGCAGCTGGAAGGTCATGCGCTGTGTAAAACATATTATGGATAAGTTGGCGGTTCATTCCGCTGTGGCGACTCCTGATTAATAAAGGGACTAATCCAGAAAAAATGAATGAATTCTTCATCTTCTTGTTGTTATTGTTATTTTTATTATTATTATTATTATTATTATTATTATCATTATTGGTATTATTATTATTATTATTATTATTATTACTATGATTATTATTATTACAATTACTGTTATTATTGTTTTATTATTAATATGTTATTATTATTATTATTATTATTATTATTATTACTATGATTGTTGTTGTTATTATTATTATTATTTCTATGATTGTTATTATTAATATGTTATTATTATTATTATTATTGTTATTATAATTTTTATTATTATTATTATTATTATTATTATTATTACTATGATTGTTGTTATTATTATTATTATTATTTCTATGATTGTTATTATTAATATGTTATTATTATTATTATTATTATTATTATTACTATGATTGTTGTTATTATTATTATTATTATTATTTCTATGATTGTTATTATTAATATGTTATTATTATTATTATTATTACTATGATTGTTGTTGTTATTATTATTATTATTGGTATTATTATTATTATTATTACCATGATTATTATTCTTACAATTACTGTTATTATTGTTTTATTATTATTATGTTGTTATTATTATTATTATTGCTATTATTATTATTATTATTATTACTATGATTGTTGTTGTTATTATTATTATTATTATTATTATTATTATTATTACTATGATTGTTGTTGTTGTTATTATTATTATTATTATTTATTTATTATTATTATTTAGGTAGAGGTTTAAATAAGTCTTTTGGGCTTTCGCCTCTTCCTGCTCGTTATGGCTTATTTTGTTCAGTTTTAGTACAACATGTTTGTATTCTTGTGCATTATGTGTATGTGCATGTGTGTCGCCTTCTGCATCTTATCTTTTTTTTTGTAGGCCATTCCACGACACGACAACGAGTCTCCTCTGACTCTTAACGCACCTAGCGAAGCACGGCTAACGAGTTTGAAATTACAGTAGATACAGTAAGAGTCGGCGGCTAAATGATTGAATCATTACTGGTGATCAGGGCTCTCTCTCTCGCCTCGGGCATATTGCTGCAATAGATCAGCCTGTCGAGCTCATCTGCATCAGTCACACATAACCCAGTTTGCAGACGGAGGGAGACGGAGCGCACTTTCACAGCAAATTCTGTCTGCCAATATTACTGAGGGTGCCGAAGAAGAGCCCTGAGTGGGTTGTCAAGAAACGGAGCCTCTGAAACAGGCAATTTCTTTTTCCAGGACGGGGAGGGAAATAAGTATTGGAATAAGAGAATTATTGATTGGAGGCCTTTTGGGAAGCTTAAGTGTAACTTTGGATGCTGGGCCCACGATAACGGAGTCTTATTGGATGTCAATTGCGCATAATATTTTCCTTTTAAACGGATTGCAGAAGTTTGCGAGATTGCCTCGCAGTTTTTTTACACACACGTTGAATGCATGTTGGATTTCTGTGCCTTATGAAAGAGGCAGAGATTGGAGTTTTATACTGTATTCACACTTTATCCTACTCTAAAGCAATCCATATAATAAACTGTTTTCATTGTCTTTGTACAAAATAAATATATAAATGTTGTAGTGTTACTTAGTATATTTAAACGAAAGATTAATTAGGTCAGGTTTTCTCAAACTTCTGTGTTTGCCCAAACAACATTGCAATTTTTAAAATGCTTTTCTTACTTAAATATCTTGTCTTGTTTCTAGTCCAAATATTTAAAGATTCTTAAATCAAGAAGCATTTTAATACATGCAAAAAATAAGTTTTGTTTTCAGAAATATTGAGTCAAAATTAGGTGAATTTTCCCTTAAAACAAGCTAAATAATCTACCGATAGGGTAATCTTGGTTTCATTTTAACATATGTTTATTTTACTTTTTCCCTTACTGGCAGAATATTTTGAAAAACACATCTAATATTGACACAGAATTATTTCTGAAAACAAAAGAACATTTTTTTAACCTAGAAAATGTTTCTTAATTTTAGAATTTTTTAGACATTTGGACTAGAAACAAGTCAGAAACTCAAGTAAAAAAGAAATATACTCACCGGCCACTTTATTAGGTACACCTCACAAGCACCGGCTTTTGCCTTCAGAACTGCCTTAATCCTTCGTGGCAGAGATTCAACAAGGTACTTAAAATATTCCTCAGAGATTTTGCTCCATATTGACATGACAGAATCAGTTGCTGCAGATTTGTCGGCTGCACATCCATGATGTGAATCTCCAGTTCCACCACATCCCAAAGGTGCTCTATTGGATTGTGATCTGGTGACTATGGAGGCCATTTCAATGTCATGTTTAAGAAACCAGTCTGAGATGATTTGTGCGTTATGACATCGTGCTGGAAGTAGCCATCAGAAGATGAGTACAATGTTGTCATAAAGGGATGGACATGGTCAGCAGCAATACTGTAGGCTGTGGTGTTGACATGACGCTCAATTGGTACTAATGAACCCAAAGTGTGCAGAAAATCTCCCCCACACCATTACACCACCACCACCACCAGCCTGAACCGCTGATACAAGGCAGGATGGATCCATGCTTTCATGTTGTTGATGTCAAATTCTGACCCGACCATCCAAATGTGTCAGCAGAAATGGAGACTCATCAGAGCAGCAACGTTTCTCCAATCTTCTATTGTGCAGTTTTGGTGAGTCTGTGTGAATTGTAGCCTCAGTTTCCTGTTCTTAGCTGACAGGAGCGGCACCCGGTGTGGTCTTCTGCTGCTGTAGCCCATCCGCCTCAAGGTTGGACCTTGTGTGTGTTCAGAGATGCTCTTCTGCAGAGCTCGGTTGTAACGAGTGCTCATTTGAGTTACTGTTGCCTTTCTATCAGCTGGAACCAGTCTGGCCATTCTCCTCTGACCTCTGGCATCAACAAGGCCCACAGAACTGCCGCTCACCGGATATTTCCTCTTTTTCAGACCATTCTCTGTAAACTCTATGATTAGATGGTTGTGCGTGAATATCCCAGTAGATCAGCAGTTTCTGAAATACTCAGAGCAGCCCATCTGGCACCAATAACCATGTCAAGTTCAAAGTCACTTAAATCCCCTTTCTTCCCCATCCTGATGCTCGGTTTAAACAGCAGCAGATCGTCTTGACCATGTCTACATGCCTAAATGGAGTCGCTGCCAAGTGATTGGCTGATTAGAAATTTGCATTAACAAGCAGTTGGACAGGTGTACCTAATAAAGTGGCCGGTGAGTAATTAATAAAGTAGGTCTTTAATTGTAACTGAAATAAAATCACATGGTAAACTGTGATGTCCTATGACAAATAGAGTCCAACCGGGTGAGATTGAGAGTTAGCTCCGCCTTAAACCTGATTGTAATAGGAAACACCTGTTATTGACTTTTCTGGACCCTCTAAACATCTTCTGGCTTGCATTATGAGGAGGCTGCTGTTTACGTTAACTTAATTTGTGCTGGGAAAACATAATGGGATTGTGTGAAACCCAATATGGAACCACACAAAGTGCTTTATACTGTTTTTATAAATAAAAAAATCCCACAAATGTGCCTTGTCAGACTCAAATCTGAGTATGAAGATGTGTTGATGCACCAAACACACTCTTACATTAGGGTGGGCCAGGGTGTCGCTGTCATTGTAAGTGATGGAGGTGGGCAGAACGCTGACTTCCACCTTCACAGTCTCTGCCTCTGTCTTTATTTCAGGACATTCAGTCACCTATAAATACACAAATAAACAAAACAAACAGGAGAATCAACACTGAGTCCTTAATTATTGCAGGCATTCGTTTCACTCATAATATTCAGTAACACTTTAGTTTAGGTCACAATTCATGCTATTTGGCGAATCACCTGCCTATTATGAAGATATCAACTGATTATTAGCACTTATAAAGTATGATCTTATTCTACATCCCTAATCCAAGCTAATACCCAACCCCAACTACCTTACTGACTGTTAATAAGCAGCTAATCAGTAGTTTATTGAGCTAAAATTATTAATTAATGGTCTGTTAATAGCATGAAATGTGCCTTAAAATCAAGTGTTCCCTAATATTCAAATCCTCTCCTTCACATGTTTTTAATACATTTAGTCATTCAGGAGACGCTTTTGAACACAATTTAATAGTCTGAGCTCATCTGGAAAATTTACATATTGTCAGAAAAGTGGCTGATTTGTTTGATCAATTATTACCATTTCATTTGTATAAAAGTGTGTAGTTAAAAAAAAGGCATTCGCCAAAACTAGGGCTGCATGATACTGGAAAATATGCAATTTTGTTGTTGAGCAATGTGATAAGGACATTTCTTACAGGACATTTCCTTAGCAAGATGCTATTTTTATTAGCCATGTTTTAAAATCATTTATTTATTTAATGATATTAACAAACTATATTATTTCAAACAAGTTAAACTCTGCGGACGCGGTACCGGGTCTGTGACGTCATCGACGTTCTCTTTAAGATTTAAAGGGCTAGCATTGCACCAGACCCCCTTTAGTGGTGTCGTTTGAAAGTGTAGAATCTATATTTTATGCACATATGCATTACTTTGGTTTTTATTCTACTGTACGAAAGTTATTTACACTTAAACACACAGTATTTTGGAAACCCGAGCTGGGTATTGAACATTGGTTCATTTTCATATTTTTCATATGACACATGTACAAGTTATAGCTCAAATGAAAGCTCTTGTCGGTGCTCATACAGTTCCAGCATTCTTTATACTGAATTATATTCACATATCAAACAGTTGCCGAATGAATCGTAATGTTTTCATGGCGCAGAAGTGAAAGGAATACATTTATGATCAATAAGCAGCCCCAGATAGCACAGACAGCTGCCATCTCTTACCTTATGCTGTGTGCTTCAGGGCCATTCTCCTCTGTTTTTGAGGTGATGTGTATAAGTAATCCTTTTATATGTCTGACGTGCTCCAAACACAGTGAATTATGTTTGATCAAACAAAAGAATAGTGAAATATGAAATCAATGATCGCTCCCTGTGGCTTGTACAGCACCTCTCATCAGTTGGAATACAAGAACTTTCGCATAGATTATGGTGGAGACATTTTTCTTTTCTCCTATGATTACAGACATGTGCAGAAACCACCGAAATTAATTACAGCACGCTCGACCACACACAACCTAAAAGGTACACTTTCACATTTGAGTTTATAAAAAAAATACAAAAAGCGCCTCTTTTTTAGGTGTTTATTATAACACAGACAACATATACAGATATTTTAAACACTTTCAATAGTTTTTTATGAAAATTCAAAGGGTTTTCTTTAAAATGATACCAAATTTTTGCATTTACACCTCTGCATGTGGATTTGGGAAGCTTTTAAATTTGGGTAGGCAAAATCCAGGCGGAAATCCCCAAATAGCAGCAGAGTTAATTCACACTAAAAAAAAAAAACAATGTCCCACGCGAACACGGGGAGAACATGCAAACTCCACACAGAAATGCCAACTGACCCAGCCAAGGCTCGAACCAGGCAGCGACCTTCTTGACAGCACTACATACTCCGCCAGCCCATTTTGCATTTATGAGTGACATTATCAATACTCATTAATTGGGGCTGAACCTGCTTGCTTAATGAACTTTCATTCTCACCCATTTAAACTGAATTACAGTGTAAAGGTGGAAACAAATGAAACCCACTAAGACTTATTTTTGATCCACAGTTAAGTTGAGCCACACACACTGAGAGCTGAACTGCAATTCTAAGTGTGAACGAATGATGGCAGTATAAACACAACTTTCTGCTGCTTTCTGAAGGACACATTTGCTGAATCTTGTCCTTCACATCCCACACAGACCTGCCAAATAATTTCCTTTATCTTCAAGGTCACGGTCTGTTAAAGGGACTGTTCACCTAAAAATGTAGATACATTCTGTCATCATTTACTCTCCCTTTACTTCTTTCAAAACTTCATTAGCTTCATTCTATTTTGTTTTTGTTGTTGAACACAAAATAAGATATATATTTAAAATTGTTGAAAACCTGTAACCATTGACTTTAACATGATTTATTTTATTACAATGGAAGTCTGTTAACCAGTTAAACTCTGCTGTTATTTGGGGATTTCCGCCTGGATTTTGCCTACCCAAATTTAAAAGCTTCCCAAATCCACATGCAGAGGTGTAAATGCAGAAATTTGGTATCATTTTAAAGAAAACCCTTTGAATTTTCATAAAACACTATTAAAAGTGTTTAAAATATCTGTATATGTTGTCTGTGTTATAATAAACACCTAAAAAAGAGGCGCTTTTTGTATTTTTTTTTAATAAAATTTGAAAGTGTACCTTTTAGGTTCTGTGTGGTCTAGAGTGCTGTAATTAATTTTTTTGGTTCCTGCACATGTCTGTAATCATAGGAGAAAAGAAAAATGTCTCCACCATAATCTATGCAAAAGTTATTGTATTCCAACTGATGAGAGGTGCTGTACAAGCCACAGGGAGCGATCATTGATTTCATATTTCACTATTCTTTTGTTTGATCAAACATAATTCACTGAGTTTGGAGCACGTCAGACATATAAAAGCATTACTTATGCACATCAGCTCAAAAACAGAGGAGAATGGCCCTGAAGCGCACAGCATAAGGTAAGAGATGACAGCTGTCTGTGCTATCTGGGGCTGCTTATTGATCATAAATGTATTGTTTTCACTTCTGCGCCATGGAAACACCGCGATTTATTTGGCAACTGTTTGATATGTGAATATAATTCAGTATAAAGAATGGTAGAACCGTATGAGCACCGGCAAGAGCTTTCATTTGAGCTATAACTTGTACATGTGTCATATAAAAATATGAAAATGAACCAATGTTCAATACCCAGCTCGGGCATCCAAAATACTGTGTATTTAAGTGTAAATAACTTTTATACAGTAGAATAAAAACCAAAGTGATGCATGTGTGCATAAAATATAGATTCTACACTTTCAAACGAAACCACTTAAGGGGGTCTGGTGCAATGCTAGCCCTTTAAATCTTAAAGAGAAAGTCGATGACGTCACGGATACCGGGTCCGCAGAGTTTAACTTGTTAAATATGAAATAACATTTAGATTTTACAAACAATATCCCCACCAATATCAAAACCAAATCTACACCCATGCAGCTTGTAAATAAATGTCAGTATTTGATGTTAATATGACGTTGGTGTGAGATGTTGGTTTGACGTTGGATTTTAGTCACTTTCTAACAACCTAAAATTAACCAAATATCAACGTCATTGTTGGACATTTAAATAACACTGTCCTTACACACTGGCTAGACATTGAATTTTGGTCACCTGACCTCATGATCTAAATCTAACCTAATATTAATGTCTTCTGATGTTGTGTGTCTGCTGGGCAATCATTAAATGCACTACAGAATGTTACGTTTACACACACATGCACAAATTACATGTAAACGCATCAGCTTTTCACAGCGTAATACTCACTACTCACTACTCTTGCGTACTTTTGAAAGGGCTACTTTTTACTCAAGCTTTGAGTAATATTTACAAGAGATACTTTTAGGGTGCTTCACTCTAGCACTTTTGGTCCGCACCCGGGTTCGTTTGACATCATAGTACGGTACGTTTAGCTAGTGTGAACGTGCCTTCTGAACTCGGTTGCGCACCCGTGAACCGTACGCGAGTCCGCCTGAAAGAGGTGGTCTGGGGTACGGTTCATGCGAACTCTGGTTCACTTCTGATGTGAATGCAATCGTACCAAATCATGGAAGTAAACCGCCAACTGTACAACAAACTATCGATTTCATAACTTTCATAACCCGAATAACGTTCGGGTTCGTGTTTGTGTGTGTGTGTCACGTTTCATACCTTGGTGACATGCGCGGGACTGAGCCAGAGCAAACGCAGTGATACACAGTGATGTCTGCTTGTCTCCTCCAAAAACAGCTTCTGCAGACGCTGTGTGATGTTCTGAATGTGCATAATATGTTTGCGGCAGATGGACGCGAGTCGCTTTCTGTATGTCCGAAACCAAAAGCTTCAGTAAAAGCAGAATGACCGCGATGTGCGGACGTCTTTCCATTTCGGCGCTTGCTTTCGTGACCGCCACCTGGCAACGGCCGTAAACAAAACAGCAGCTCGATGACGCAAGCGTACCGGGGTTCAGAAGGAAAAAGACAGTGTGAACACAAACCAACCGAGGAGGTGGCATGGGTAGACAACAATCGAACTTGGGTACGGTCCAGGCAAATGAACCAAGTGTGAAAGCATCCTAACTCTACTTACACTACATTTTTAGGCAATGGTAATGGTTCTTTAACTTGAGTCTGATTTTTCAGAACTCTCTCCACCACTGCACACAACATACAGAAACTCTTAACAGATTTGTTTTTACAGTCCAAACCATCCCAATCAATCTAAAATCCTAAACTCATCTGAAATAGAGCTGTTCATGAGGGTATACTCGATATAAAAATCGAGAAAACTAAATCATCACAATGTCATTTCTCCAATATCGTGTAGCCCTGGTGCATGTGTGTGTGATTGTTTATATAAAGAATGCTCTCCATGTGCATTTCCATTTGAAGATCATCCAAAAAAAAATCCTTTAGTGCAAGTCTAGCATTAGCTCAGCGATGCTAGCGTAGCGCAGAAGTCCGCACGCATTCCTCAATTCAGCAGCGGAGAGCCTGCAATCGATCATCTGGACTTATTTCAACTGTCACCTTTTGTCTCAGAGCGCGCAGATCAGCGAGCATTTGTTAGTAATGTAATTTAATGCCGGCGGGTCCAGATTCACTAATGCCAGCCCACCAGGCCCGATGCGGCCCACTCCCACAGCCAAAAACGGACAGGTGCCACCGAGCAAACGGAATTTAATGGGAATCATTTCATCTGCGGACAAACGCAACAAAACCCAGCGAGAAGGGAAATCAAATCAGAGAAATATAGAGCCGTGAGAGCGGGAGAGACTTACCTTGCTGGCGTCCCGGGATGATTTGAAAGCCTGAGGAACAAAAGAGTCGCTCTCGATGGCCTCGATATCCTTTATCCTCCTCACCTGCTCCGCGAGAGAAACTTCCTCTGGAGGAGAGAGAAGAAAAATAAATAAAAAAACATCAGCAGCGAGTGGACAGACGAGAGGTCAGATGAGCGGGTCAACTGGTCTCTCTCTCTCACACACACACACCAAAAAAACAGAGACAGGAGAGAATACTGCTGACTGATTTCTCTTTTAGCAAAGAACACTGTCCACGCTTTCATGCACTGCAGATTGAAGGACTTTTTAAAGCACCGTTATTTTAAAATCGAGCACCTTCACTGTAAAAATGCTGGGTTGCACACAATACTGTAATGTTGTCCAAACACGAGTTAAAGGTGCTGTGTGTTTTTGACTCTTCTAAAGCATAAAAATACCATATACAGTTGAATTCAGGATTATTAACCCCCCTGTTTATTTTTTCCCCCAATTTCTGTTTAACGTAGAGAAAAGGTTTTTTCAACACATTTCTAATCATAATCATACACCCGGTGCAATGTGGCGCAAGGCGCGACGCAGTTGTGTCTGCTAGTTTCAGTCTGATACAAGAGTTGTTTTGACGTGTTGCGCTGCGCTGTTTAAACAGCAAATGCATTAGCGCTCATATGTGAGCCCATAGGCGTTCTGGCCAAAAAAGGAAGGCGTTCTGAGGCGCACGGCTATTTAGACAAACTATAATAGATTTTTCAGTAGACCAGATCAAAGCTGGTCTAAAGTCCAGCGCAGAGCGCGTAAGTTGTGCGCCTCTATTACACACTTGCTTAATACACACAAGATGTAGAGCAGTACGCAAATATCTTTACATATGAAAAAGAATTAAAATATTTTGTATATATATATAGGATATAATAAGAAAAAAAAAAAAAAAAAAATATATATATATATATATATATATAAAGGATTAAAATATTACAAAACATTATTTTCTAGCCTACAAAATCACTGCCTTCATGTCTTCTTCATCTCGGGAGGCTTTTTCAGTTCATTCATAACAATTTGCTTTTGTATAATGTTATTATTATTAGCAGTATTATTTATTATATCCATTTTTATATTTGTTTTATTAAAAACAAGCTTAGATTTGCCCACCTGTCAGGTTTTAGACCATATGGGGCACAGCATGTGTTTTAGGATATAACTCAGGTTTTTGACCACACTTCGTTCTTATTGTTCATTTGTTCGTTTGCTGGAAATTAGAACTGAATTTAGAAATAGTTTTGAAACAAATCTTTGCTCTTAACGAACGCAATTAATTATTTATAGGCTAGTTGATGTCTATGCGTACAAGGTTTCCCTATCTAGAGAGCGATTGTTAAACTAGATTATGAGATGCCTTATCTCTCATTCTCGCGCTGTAGATGCTCTATTTAACTGTTTTCTTGCTTGTGAAATGCTCAGTTTTTCCATGTACACTTACTTTCTGTCATGTAAATAGCAAATGCGCTAATGGCGTGACGCAGCTGGCTCTTTAAGGGAATGGGAGATGAGACTCTGATTGGTTTATTCTCAAAACACACCTATAACTCATTAAGAAAATAAACTCAACCCTTTTAGACCATGTGCCATGGCGCAAAGCGCATTTTCCCGTCCTTAAATTAGCAAAAGTGGATTCTGACACGCCCTGAATGCATTACGCGTCAAAATAGAGCCAAGTTTAATAACTCATCTCTAATAACTGATTTATTTTATCTTTGCCATGATGACAGTAAACAATATTAGACTAGATATTCTTCAAGACACTTCTATACAGCTTAAAGTGACATTTAAAGGCTTAACTAGGTTAATTAGGGTAACTAGGCAGGTTAGGGTAATTAGGCAAGTTATTGTAGGATGGTTTGTTCTGTAGACTATCAGAAAAAAAATTAGCTTAAAGGGGCTAATAATATTGACCCTAAAATGGTGTTAAAAAAATAAAAACTGCTTTTATTCTAGCTGAAATAAAACAAAAAAGACTTTCTCCAGAAGAAAAAATATTATCAGACATACTGTGTGAAAATTTCCTTGCTCTGTTAAACATCATTTGGGAAATATTTAAAAAGAGAGAAAGAAAATCAAAAGGGGGGCTAAAGATTCTGACTTCACCGATATGTTTGCAGATATTTTAGAAACATGCGAAGTGAACGTTCTTGTTTATCTGAAAAACGACGCTGAAGTCAGATATTCTGCTTTGAAAATGGGCGTTATGTGCCGGGACATCTGTCTTTGTTTTGGTCTCTTTAACCCGCCCAATACCAATTCAGCCAATTATATTTCAGCACCCCGGGAAGCCTTGGTGGAAAACAGTTTATTCCATTCATTCAGTCAGGAAGGCTCTCCGAGAATGCGTTCGCGACCAAAATGTGACCTCCTGTCAAAAAATTTACTGTTTTAAAAAGTCATTTTGAAAAAAAATTTAATAAACATTGTTGAATGTCACTTCTGGTGATATTCAAATGTGCTTTCTGAAATATTGATCAAAAGTTCTTTATTGGTCGGATTTAAATGTGAGATTTTTCAATGAAGAATTGCTCAGTTTTTTCGTTCTGTTTTTGACAATTGAGTACAATCATTGAAATAAAACCACAAACATTTTAATGGGAAAAAACATATAGGAGGGGTAGAGGCTAATAATTCAGGAGGATTAATAATGCTGACTTCAACTGTTTATATTTACCATCAGCCACTCTGACATACAGTCGAAGTCAGAATTATTAGCCTCCCTTTGAATTTGTTTTCTTTTTTAAATATTTCCCAAATGATGTTTATCAGAGCTAGGAAATTTTCACAGTATGTCCGATAATATTTTTTCTTCTGGAGAAAGTCTTATTTGTTATAAAAGCAGTTTTAATAAAAAAAAAAAAACATTTTATTATTAATATTATTAGCCCCTTTAAGCAATTTTTTTCGAAAGTCTAAAGCACAAACCATCGTTATAACTTGCCTAATTACCCTAACCTGCCTAGTTAACCTAATTAACCTAGTTAAGCCTTTAAATGTCACTTTAAGCTGTATAAAAAATATCCAGCAAAATAATATTTACTGTCATCATGGCAAAGATAAAATAAATCTGTTATTAGAAATGAGTTATTAAAACTATTATGATTAGAAATGTGTTAAAGAAATCTGCTCTCTGTTAAACAGAAATTGGGGAAAAAAAAAAGAAACAGGGGGGCTAATAATTCTGACATCAACTATACGTGTGTATTTTGTACAGAGTGTGTGTGTGTGTGCGTGTTTATGCACGTGTGCTTAGAGTGATTACTCATCATGTCTGTATGTATGTTCCCTGAATGGATCTTCATTAGAAAGAGTGTTTTGGCTTTCTCTGTAGCCATATTTCAACAGTTTGCAGAAGAATGACAGCGCTATAGTGTTTAGCTTGTGCTCAGCAGACAAACATTAAACGCTGAGTGTGTGTGTGTGTGTGAATGTTTCTGCTGAGAGAAAAGCAGAGCAAATATTCATTTATTCATTAAACGAGCAGAGCGAGGAGATCTGTTGTGACAGTCGCTCCCTGGCAGTTAATGGATTAAATTAATTCCTCTCATTAGCACAGAGAATGTGTGTGTGTGTGTGTGTGTGTGTGTGTGTGTGTGTGTGTGTGTGTGTGTGTGTGTGTAAGAGCATTTCTCCAACCTAATAGTGTTTGTTTATGAGCATTTTCATGCATATGTAAAGAGAGATGAAATTCTGAGTGAATCTGAGCATCGGCAGCACACTCTGATTTATGTTTAAGGATGTCTTAATTTAGCAACATCACACGAACAAGAGCTCTGAATATCAGCACAGACAATCACAGCTTATCTGCACACTGACTGAATCATTTGGCTATGGGGATTCATCTATGTGCACAGTAAAAAAATGATTCGTTCACTTTACATATAATAAGCGAGTGAACCTGTTGCTTTTAAAACGATTACTTTAATTTTTGTACAGTACAGATAGTCTGCCTCTGATTGGCTGTTGACATTTTGATTTCTCGTCTTGACTCCGCCCATTAGTGTTTACGTTCAGCTCTGGGTTCATCTTTGGGCTTCAGCTAATAGCAGAACAGCAACTACTGAGAGGCGGGGCTAAAAATAGTAGGGCCCTATCTGATTGGTCAGATTTAGATAAACAAACAATGCACAAAGTGTAATCTATCACACGTGTCAGCGATATGTAGATTACAATACTACAATCAGGATAATGATACTTTTGCGATATATTGTGCAGGCCTAGCTGATTTATCCACTTTTAATACTTGTTAAAACCCCACAGAGTTTACTGGTGGGTTTTACAGGAATGCATGTGTTTCTATACAGGATAACACACAGTCTGGCTTATAAAAAATAATAATAATAATAAAATAAAATAAAAATAATAGAGCAACAAAAAACAAACACTTCTTTCTAAATGGATGCACAATTTTCCCGAGGATTCTACAGTCTTTTCTTAAGATGACGACGTACACACACACTTACTACTCCTCCTGTACAGTATATGTGTGTGTCTGCAGGTCTGAAGATAGTAGGACCCCATCTAACTGGTCAGGTTTAGATAAACAAACAATGTATAAAATGTAATCTATTCAACACAATATCTGCAATTCGTAATTTTTTCTATTATTAGCTAATTCGGATAAATTTGTACGATCTAATCCGTACAATTTAGTACGATATGCTCATGCCCCAATGACCGTTGGGTTTAGGGGTGGGGTTAGGTGCCACGCCTCCTTTTTAAAAATCGTACAATTTCGAACGACTGAACTCGTATAAATTTGTACGAATTAGCCACTAAACTGACAAAAAGTTAAATATGTTATCTCGTGAGATCAAGCTGAATCTATCACACTTGTCTGCAATACGCAGATTACCAATAATATTATCGCGATAACGATACTTTTGCCGTACCTTTTTAGGGCTAATTGACTTATAAACTTTTTATACCTTTTAAGACCCCACAGAGTTTACTGGTGGGCTGTACATGAATGCAAGTGTTTCCACACATGATTACACACAGTTTGCATAAAAAACAGACACACAAACAAACAAACAAACAACAAAAACAAACAAACACTTTTTTC